CTCACCACTGATGAAGATCCAATTATGTATGAAATGCCCTGGGAATTTACAGTCAAACTACATTTATACTTTCAGTAATGAAACAACAGGTTGTAATTCCTTCCATTGTTGCTCTTTGCTTTTTTTCTTTGTGTTTCTGATCACTGCTACCTCCACTGTGAGGTACAGTGCTTTGGGAGACAGCGTTGCAATTGAAATACTAAAATTAGGGACCATACACTTCTGTCTGGAAAAAAAGAATGAGGAGGCATTTTTAATTAATTGTTATTAATGTTTTAATAGAAATAAGAATGAAGATCCAGGTTACCATTTCAACTTGAGATACAGATTTAAAGGGTAAGAAATTTCTACAATGGTTTTGTTATTAGATAAAAATTCTGTTCTCTCTTTGTGTGTCCATCTCAATAGGGAGGGACAGGACCAGCAAATCACATCCACTTTAGGGCTACAAAATATTCTATTTGTTTTGTACTGTCCTGGTGAAATTACACCCCAGTAGTGTGTTGTATGTCTGACACATATAAAATGATTATGTATTTTTAGCATACATTGGATGATAAAGCAGTTCCAGCAACCTCCAGACTTCATTGTAAAATTATATCTATGCAAATTAAAACCAAAATATAAATAGAATTTTATTATGGCACTTTGACAAGCAGGAATATTCCTTTTGACACCAGTTTCTGAGGAAACTGCAGTCAGGCAAGTTCCTGATGCTGGGAAGTATGATTCTGCCTTGTCACAAGTGTATCTCTGCAGTAAGTCGTTGATGGATGGGAGCTTTTACTTATAGCAAGTGGAAAATGTGTTATGGATAATTCTCATTCTACTTTTTTTTATTGCAAAGCTACATCACTGCTTGCACATAAAAATGTTCTCCTCTTAATCACTATATTTGAGAGCCCTTGAAATATAATGGTGATGACTTCTAGCTACAAGCTAGATAGATGTAAATGCAAAATGAGTCATTACAATTTAGGTATGACCTACTGCCTAACACATTCAAATAATTTGGAAGAGTGATATAAGCATGGTATACAAATCATATTATGTCTCTAACCAGTTTGAAATAGTGCACTCTATTTTCTCAATCATATTAAGGCAAAGCATGGTCTGGCAATCCATCTCGCTGACCTTTCTCTTCTTTTGTGGGTCAGGCACATGAATTCTTCTGGCTTGCAGAGTAAAGTGTATAATCACACATACACACCTCACCTATTCAGCAGTGAATATTGACCATTAAAAAAATAAGTGAAAATACCCATTTTACCCCTGTAGACAAAGGTCATGAATTAGTGAATCACATTTTATACTTCCAGAAATTAGGTTTAGTTCTGTGCCCAATATTCAGAAGGTACGTACTAATGGAAGACCACCACACCACATTGTCCTGTCTATATCACAGCTCGAAAATGTGTTGACTCAATCTAAAATGTTGGTAATCTGGTGAAATATACACAGTGATATATATACAAACCAGCAGGATCAGAATAGTGAAGTGATTTTCAAACATATATTTCTATGTAAATTGCATTTCTTGCTGTTTAACACCCTCTATATATCTATGAATTAAAGGAAAAAAAGGGAAAATGAGAAAAATATGTTTTCTCGCTGCATTTTTTATAAATAAATTATATTTGACATTTCATGTCCTTCTTAATGTGATAGGAAAAAAAAGGTAAGATAATTTACAGCATTAATAGTATATAACTAATAAAAATAATAAAGTAATAAGAATAAATAATAAATTAAATAAATAAAAAATAATAAAATATAATTTGCATCATTATGACTACTTTAAAAGATTATTTAGTAAACTTCCCCAGTGCTCTTTACATGACCATGTTATGACTCCTTTTACTGATATCTAAACAGTTTCTTACTGGTTAATAATGTTTTCCAAAGTAATTGTTTAACACCTGATTAAAGGAAAGTGTCAAACATTTTTATTGATAGAAAGTTCTCTTCACAAAAGAATATGTGGACAAGAGCAAAAGTGTAGGTTTAAATGGAAGCTGAGCCTTTATTAATATTTTCTGTTACTTGTCCTGCAACTGGAAAAAAAAAAGTACAAAATGTTGTAGAATTTATTTTAAAAATTCTATTTTAAAATAATTTTAAAAATTTAAAAAGATCAAATTTGTATTTGACCTTATCATGCATGGACTAGGATTGAAATAACAATAAGCATAAGAAATTCAAAAATTTTGACTTGCTCAGGACTTCATACCACTTTAATACACTGAGCATATAAACATTCATAAAATCAATCATTTCTTTCTGTGTCAAGAAATTAGCTTTGAATCGATTATGCCTAGTTATCTGTTGTGTTTGTGACAACATGAAAATGGGCACAGTCTTCTTTCATTGATTTACTGTCCAATAAATAATTACTATTCATTATTTATTGATTGTAAAGTTACATAATCATTTCACTTCCTTTTTATGCTATCAGTGTCAGTTCTAAAGCTAGAGCTATATACTTGATCAAATTTTAAAATTGGTTATGCACACAGAAGAAATGGTATTCCACAGAGCTGTTTAAATTTATGTGAGAATAATAGGTTTGCATACCTCAACCCATTTATTCCATTTTAGAACTCTGCATTGAGGAGGACAATGTAATCATAATCCAAGAGAAGCTGTCCACAGTTTATATTATGATAAGTAAAGCAATGAAATTCATATATATTCTTTTTTGTTTATTTTTTAAGATGCTGGAGATAGGAGGATTTGTGTCATTTTGTCACAAATACCTGAGCCAGGTGCATGATGCAAATGATACATATCATTGCTACACATAAATTTTTATGATAAAAATGGGCAAACTTTTACTAAAATAGAAAAAAGCTTTTTAAAAGCTATGTCCCCTTGTGCACCAGCTGTTTGTCATAAAGAAAAAAAAAATCACACTTGAGAAAAGAAAATTTTTCAAAATGAGTACCTAATACACCTATTTGGGAATGAAAATAATTTTAATTCTATTGCATTTGCTGTGAACTTCTTAAAACAACTGTCTCCAAAAGTACTAATTGGAAGTATGCAGTGTACTAAAAAGAGAACTTTCCGATAGGCTGATTCTGAGCCTACAGTATTTTTGTGTCTTTTGGGTGCTATCACTCTTTTACAAGTTGTCTAAGCTCATCAAAGCTGTAGTGTTGTCATTTATCAGCACCATAATGTATTTAACACATTCCCTGCCTTTGGTCCTTCTGAATCCTGAACTCAGAACACGAATGAAAGGTAAATGAACAGAAAAACAATCAGAATTACTCAGTGAACAGATACATTTTTTATCTTCAAAGTACTTTTCTGATTTTGTGGTTTTACCACACGTTAAAAAAAAGTCTGATTAATCTCAAAGAAAAAGAAGCACATGAATTAAAGCTGTTCACAGGAATTTTCTTTGAGTTATCATCCTTCAGTTCAGTAACAATAAGTAATTCCCATAGCAACCCCTACTGCCATACGTCACCAAAACCTACTCTTGTACCCTTAGGAAAAAAATCTTACTAGACTGAAAAACAATGTTTAAAAATAACAGTTTTGTAATTCTAAATTTTATCCTGGGGACAGTATGGAAAAAGAAATGACCTTGCAAAGGAAAAGAGAGATTTTCATACTACATATTTCATAACGTTCCTCATAGAGTTTGGTTAGGATAATTATCTTAAAATAGAGTCCTGAGTTTTTATATTACACCTCTTCAAGTGATGATGAATTATGACAGTCATGGCAAGAAGCACAACACTTAGTATAATGTGAAGGAATGTATACTGAAATGTTAAATCTGTCCCAGCCATGGGCTAAACCACAACATCCATTTTAAGAAAAATTCTCCATTAGGAAAATGAAAAAAGTGTGCTTTACGTAATACGTGCTAATATGAAACAGCCATATTTGTTCAAGGGTGTCTGCATCCTTGGTATGCACTCATGATGCCTCAGATTCAGTAGCCCATCAAGCCTTGACAGAACCGCCATGCCAAAAAGCGAATGTTAAGATCACCATCATGTATCTAAAATTTGAGTTGCAAGGGACAGCAGAAGGTGGGTAGCCAAACCTCCAGCTCAAAGCAAGGTCAGCTCTGACATCAGGTCATGTAAAGGAGTATCTAAATTGTGTAAGACTGGAGTAGTAGTCTGTGCAGGACTGTGTGTCTTGCCATAATCTCAAGATTAAGCCAGATAAAACAAGCCGAGAGGCATCCACATCTGCTTGATATCCTTCTGCCAAAGTAAACCAAAGGGAGGCAGAGGCAGCCAACTCCAAACTGAAGCAACTGATAGTATCCAAGTTTTCCTAATTTTTTTATCACCATTTTAAGAAAATATTCAAATAAATTATTTTCCTCAGTCCATTCAGTTATTTGAAGTCTGCTGAACAGCTTAGACTCAATGTTTTTCACTCACATACATATACACATATATGTACCCGTGTGCATACATGTTTTCCTTTCTGTGACAACCTAACCACTGTCTAGGTTGCTCTGTGGTTGATAACACCCAGGACAATTGGGATGGTGATGTCTTAAACACGCTCTTTCCAACCAAGGGGAACAGCTGCTAAGATTGGAGGTAGGACAATGCTCTTTTGAACTCAACTTCCCCCTTTTCATCATAAGACACACGGCATGGTCACCAGAGGTGGTATCAAACAGCAGTCATATCCCTAAAGAGGCTACAGACCAACAAGGACCCAAAAACTCCTCTCAGATCCTTGTGGGAACTCTCCATCAGCAGGCTGTGCATGCCCCCTGGTTTTACACCACACATGAAGAATCCCCTCCCTGGTAGGGGATTTAGGCATTCCCATGCCAACCTGAATGTATGTAAACTGAAAAACAGATTGAGACTGTAACCATTACTTTGCTCACAGACATCAAAATTATATTTAAGTCAACAATCAAGACTCATTGCTGAATCTACAGGTGGTGATATCTTTCCTCTCAATTACCTACTTTATACTGTTCTTCTCTTTCTTTTCCATATATTAATAATTTTATATTTTTGTTGTAAAGAACTAAAACAGCTGCATACCTCCTTTACACTTTAATTAAATTGTTTTAAAATAACCCTGCCTCATATGTATGCACCAATCATTCAGTGTCATTTCACTCTGATTCCAGGGGATCCCAAAGGATTTATTAGCAGGAACTTCATTTACTCTGTCTCAGAGACGGTTCATAACATATCCATGTGTAGGAAATCACATAATTTATAACTTAGGCGTTATGAAAGCTCTTTCACAGTGTAGTATACAGCTATATGTCTTCACCACTTCTTACTTTTGATAACTTTAGCAAGATAAATCTATATAATAGAGTAGAAGACAAATTGTACCAAACAGTTAAAGATAATACCAACCCACATGTGGAAACCGTAGAATGTTAGGATCAAAGAGAAGACATGATAGTCTATAGCAGAAAATGTATATATCATTGATCTTACTGGGTTGACATATTATTCAATTGCCTTCTCTTCAACAGCATACTTATTGCATCTTTTGAATTGAGTCTTTTTCATCTGAAAGCCAAGATCATTGATTTAAGAAAGTAGCTTTTACACCTGCTTTTTATTCTCATTGCAGAGTGCATAGCAAGAGTATTAGACTTGTATTCATTTAAATTTTCTTGAGATTTCTTTCCTTGTCTACTTTACTGTATCCCCTAGACACAGTGAAGAACTGAGACCTATAAGCCTGTGTGCCAATATTTCCACAGTGAAGATCTCTTAAACACTGTGCTGAGTCCTGCTTTGAAGCCTGCCTTTAAGTGCCCCCTATGTGTATAATTTAGCTCCTTAAAGATACTTAACAGTTGTGGTATATAATACATGCAGAAATAAAATACCTTTTACTTAGGAAACAGACCAAATCCACAATCATAAAGTAAGAAACCCTGAGTTATTTTGTCTTCATTGTTCTTCTCATCATCTTAAAATATGCTCTGTCCTGAGCATATTCCTTGAGCACTTCCAGATTCTGACTCTGCTTAAAAACATGTTCTAGCTGTATTCTAGGTTGACTTCCAACCAAGCTGGTTTGACGTTCTATGAGAAATGCTCTGGCTAAACCATTCTTATTTTCCAAATACACATGCCATTTTATTTCTATTCTTCATTTCAAGCCAGTACATTTCCTAGCAATGCTTGGTTCCAAATGTAAGGTATATTCATGCAGAATTGACAAACAAAATCATCCTTCTAGGACTGAACAGAGTTATCAGACTTATCAGAGTTCCAGTTGCCACCTTGATGAGGGACTCTAGCTGAGTGCTCTTATCATCACAAACATCAAAAATAATTTAGAAGCTGCATATAGGCAGATACTACAAAATCAGCAGAGTCTGCCTCAACTGTTCAACTATCTGTAACAGGAATGATAACAGACATTTGGGAAATTCCTACTTTTTTTTTAAAATTTGAATTTACAAGGGTTCTAATAGTTACCTAGAGGAAAAGGAAAAATAAGACAATATATCATTGGAATGAAGAAAAATAGCAGAATACACATTGGTAGAAGGGTCCAAAATTGCAGAACACTAAGAATAACAATAAAGCCCTGAATTTCCTGCTGTTGGAAAGAACATTTTTGTTCAAATAAAACACTTAACTGAACATAGTGTTGCATCTGCTGACTATTTTCAGTGGACCATTTTCAAAGATATGAGCCTGAGAGTAAACAAAATGAGCATTTTTGCAGGTAAGCACACAAACTGTAACTGGAACTATCTGGAAAGAAAAAAAAAAAAATAAGACAGAAGCAGTTATTGTTATGGTAACTTTAATATCTGAGAGACTTTAGTTTTATTAAGGAATTTTTGCCCTAAATAGGTATCTCCTTTGCATAAAAGAAAGGTGAAAGCACTGTGCTATTTAATTCCTTACATTTAGATATTTATATGCCCTATGGAAAAAGCAATCATATTTCTGGTAGACCAATAGGGATACTTAGAAAGGCTGGTCTTTCCCAGACTTTGGATATGACTCAATATACTATGGGTTTGGGCAGTTGCTCAAAAGTAGTGCAAGATACCAGGTTAGTAGATTTCTGAACATGTGATCAAGCTGAAATCTAGACCTAGGAAGAGTTCTGAACCAAAGATTCAGGTTAAAAAAAAAATTCACATGGTTCTACTAAGTCTTCAGCAAATATCTGAAGTGAAATAATTCAGTGTTAGATAAAACAATTAAGAGTATACTATACTGGATACTTAAGGTTTACTTAAAATATGATATTTAGGGCAAATTTCTATTTTTTACTTGATCTGGAATCAGTTTGATACCCACTAACAGAAACTAGCTCTATTTGAACCATTATCTTCCATGTAAGACAATTAAAAGCCAGCTGACTGAAGTGACATGTTTTCTGGGTGCTTGCAACTAGATTTTTAGTCTATAAATTCTTTACATGGGAGTGTCATTTAATATTCAGTGTAGTTTTTCAGGATGCTAATTTTGCCCTAGTATAAGCTGACAGTAAAAAGATCCTTTCATGATTACTTTTGAAATGTTATTTAAAAGGGGAATGAAAATACACAAGATTAATATAGCAATTGTCTAAGCTGTCACTACGTACCAGAAAATAGAGAAAACAGAAAAAAAATTACAGTCTTTTAATTTTTTAAGAATAAGGTGTTGTTATTGGATTTGAATAATAAAATCAATAATTTAGAATATCACAGAATCACAGAATCACTAGGTTGGAATAGACCTCCAAGATCATTGAGTCCTAATATCCATGCCCTAACACCTCAACTAGACCATGGCACTGAGTGCCACATCCAGTCTTTTCTTAAACACATCCAGGGATGGTGACTCCACCACCTCCCCAGGCAAACCATTCCTGTACTTCATTATTCTTTCTGTAAAAAACCTTTCCCAATATCCAACCTGTATTTCCCTTGGCTCAGCTTAAGACTGTGTCCTCTTGTTCTGCTAGCTGCTGCCTGGAGAAGGAGACTGACCCCCACCTGCCTACAGCCACTTTTTAGGGAGTTGTAGGGAGTGGGTTATTTATTATGACCACATGAAAATAATTAAAAAAAAAAAACCCACATTTGACTGTTTACTAGTAAAGGCAAACTTGTCCAAACAGTCCAAACCCTAAATTTTGACATAATGACTAAAAAGAATACTAAATATTATGAATACTACATTTAATCTTTGCGAAGAATTGCCTGAAGTGCCATAAGCAAACCAATTATTAAAAAAAACCCCTAAAATATATTAGTAGAAACAAATACCACCTGTTTGAAATACATTGCTACTTTAATTTCAAATACAATTAACCTCTATACATACCTAAAATCTTAATATAAAAAAAAAATCTCTGTATGAAACCAAAGACTTTTCAGTCAGTATTTCTTCAGTCAATATTGAGCTTTGCAAGTATCTTTTCAAGTATTCTGGTTTGTTTAACCAGCCGGGAAGTAAGACAAAATTAATTCCCACATGGACACTCTTCTCAAAATGTCTATTGTTCTCAAGGCAGAGAGGTTACGAAAACTGTCAGATGCTTTTACAGATGCCCTTTATCAAAATGGCTAAAACCTTCCATCACTGTTAATAGGAGTAAGAGAAACTGCTTTTATAGGAGAGAGGCACTTCTTTAGCGTTTAGGAGTTTCCCTGACACCTCACAGTTAAAAAAAAAAAAAAAAAAAAAAGAGTATAACTTAATTCTGAGACCCAAAAAGCAGCCTGTTTTTACAGTAACTCAACAGTAAGTCATTGAGGATCCAAAGTTGGCTATTCATATCACAAGCCACTCAGTATTGTGTACATTCTTACTGTTTACTTCCTTATACAGCCAAATCTATCTCTTCCTTTAAAATAATTAAAATTTATTTTGTCTGGTGTTTAATGTTTTTAACAAGATTTTCTTCTACCAAGAATTCATTGAACAGCATGATTAACATTTATTAGTCTTTTTTTCCATTATTAGGGCCTGTGTTTTTAAAATAAAGTGTGTGGATTATATTGTGAATGTTTTATATGTAGTTCAATTTATCTTTGTTTTAAAATATTTAGATTTATGGAGACAAAGACAGAGGCAGTTGAAAGATGCAGTGCTCTGCAATTAGCCACCCCCAGTCAAGACCTGCAAGATCTCTATTTGTGGACACTGCTGTTCAAGTAATTTAAGATTGCTTTGTTCAGGCATCATTAGCTGGGCACAGAGGTTTCATGCAGAATGTGTGTAAGCCATAAGTCTAAATCAATTATGTAGTAGATAATGCACATAAAAATCAGATACTATCTAGCAAGCCATGAAGTTGTGTGATGGTACAGCACTTGGAAAGCCTTCATCAGCCAGGTTGGTGAGGAGGGAAGGGTCAGTGGTCATGGCTCCTGGGAACCATCATCAACGGCTGTCACCTTTGTCCAGCTCCATCAGTAGTGACAGCCCTGATAGCTTGAACCCAGCACAGAAAATTGTGACTATCCTGGACAAGTCACCCTCCAGCTACCCTCTCTGCATTGTTTTTTTAAAGATTTTATATTTTCCTGTCAGTTTTTGTTGAATTCTTGATCCAATAATGATCACAGATCAGCAGTCCTCTGTAATTTTGTCTTTTCTCATCACTATGGCTCTGACTCAGCAGCCTGAGTCAAGGTTCCACAGCTGGAATAAATCAAAGCTGGACCTCACACACAGCTAAAACCTTTGCAGGAGAAATTACAGCAGGGACCACAGAGAAAAGGGTTACTCTGCTTGGCTTTAGACATCACAACTTAAGAAAGACGTGAATAAATTGTGAACAAGCAAAGGACAAAAGTGATTAGAAGTATATGATCTGTTGGAAAAGGTTGAAAGTGAGGTAAGAAAAGGGGATGGAAGGGAAGAGACCAGAGAAGAGGAAAAAAAGGTAATACAAAAGACTTCTAATATACAGATGTATCTATAAAAATGGACATAGTGGTGTTAGAAGATTAATGGCTGAAACAACAGACAAAATTTCAACATTTTTATAGAAAATTTTTCTACCACTACAAATAGTTAAACATTGCCCTGGGTGAAAATGTTATCAGTAATCTATAAAACATCTCAAAATGTGATAGTGATGCTCAACTAATCCGCAGTGATAATCTCTTATTTCTATAGATTAGAAGTTCCTATGAAAAATCTACCTCCTAAAATACATTGTCTATTGTGTTAGAAGAGCCAAGCTGTCGATCTTTATCTTGAAACTTCTGGAGGTCTTTCAGATACCTTGGAATGAAGCCACAATGTGTCATGAACATAATTTTATGAGAGCTACTATAGAAAGTACAACACAGCTTTGATGTATTTTTGGTGGTCTGTGTTTCTGTATTTAGTTAGAGTTTCCTAAACACTCCAGGCTTTTTGCCCAGGTATATCACATTTCTGTAATCTGGCCAAGAGATTGATGAAAATGTGAGTAACAAAGGCCAAGGCATCATCATATGCCAAGATCTTCTATCCAGATGGAAATGTTAGGAATACTTTTTTCTTTTTTTCTTTTTTTTTTTTGCTACCAGACAAGATCATGATCAGTGAAGAAGTTAGGAGTACACATCAATTTGATCAGAAATTTTGTGTTATTCTTTGAACATTGGAAACTACAAATGGGCTGCAAATTCTTCAAATTCTTTATCTGTGGTACTGGTAGATGAAAAAATAGAGAATGAACCCACAAAATCTGTTTGCAGCTCAGTATCCCAGACTGCATAAAAAGAAGTGTGGCCAACTGGTTAAGGGAGGGGATTTTCCCCCTTTACTATGCTCTCGTGAGAACCGGACTGGTATCACATCCAGTCCTGAGGTATCTGTACCTTTCTGCTTCTGCTGTGGGGTCTTCCAGAGGCCCAGAGATACTATGTTTCTCCAATAAAACACATTTTCAATGTGTTCAGTGATGCTATAGTGTGTTCTGGAAATTGTTCTGGAAATTAAATGGAAGACTGTCCTCCTCTTTCCAGACTGAATCAACTACATGTGCCATCAGTAAAATTTCAGTTGACACTGGCATGTGTGTCAATCACTAAAAAACACAAGTCAAGACTAGATTTCATAAAATTAATTTTCTCATGATCTTCCACTAGAAATTTCAAACACTATTGCTTAAATTATTTTTTTTCTGAATGTTATATCCTACTATAAGCTATACAGAAATATGAGAAATATATTCAAACAAAAAAATTAGCCCTTCCAGGGTTAAATTATAAATGAGGAGCAAAGCTGAGTGTTACTTTTACGCCATACTTAGCAAATCAGGCAGCTTCTAAGCCAAAACATAAGATTAATGTCTAATTCCTGTGCCTTTGGAAAAAAAGTTAAAGTTGAAAGAAAAATAATAGCTGATATATTAGAGTTTAAATTAAAAATGCTCCTTAAGTACTTGAGTAATACAGAACTTAAATCAAAGAATAATCCCATCTTCAACTTACATTTTCTTGACAGCTGAGTTTACGTCTTCCTCCTTATTTCTTCCTTGGAAGAAAAATGAATGAGAAGCCTTACTTGTCTAGAAATATACAAGGCATTTTCAGTTTCAGTAGAAATGTTTTTTTCTGAGTGGTTTGAGCATATTGTAACTTCTTACTTAAACGTTCTAGGAAAATGCAGAACACTGTTGTCTAAAATGGCATCTCATTGTTTTATTTTCTCATAGCAAAAAAATTTAAAAAATAGAAAAATTAAGTCTTTCAAGCTACTCAAAGATGTACCAAAACTGTATGAGTAAAAAGTTATTTAAGCAATATATGCTTGATATATATATATATATCTAAATTAATTTATACATGTGTCTTTCCAATGATGCTGTACATTTAAATGTCCAGCTATGTACAGAACAAGACCATACCTAATGTCATCGTATTCCTCTTGTTTTGGGATAAAATTTAACCTGAATTTTAATTTGAATTACCAGGCTATACCTACACATGCCAATATACATAACTTATGTGTCTTTTCTGCTGTCATGTCCAAGGTATCTCAATTATCTCAAGGTAATATAGCATGAAGGCACAGTGATGCAGACAACATTCATTCTGAAACATCGTAGCATCTAGTTCTCTTGGGTTTTGCCTTTAAAAATGGATTTTCTCTCTATTATATATAGCCTTACATCTAGTGCTGGAAAGATTTACATCAAAATGAATGGTAGCTGAAGCATTCATCTATAATGTTAGAAACTCATTGAACCTTTTATTATGATTTGACACAGTATTTGAATTAGTCCTTACTTGTAACATCGTGACTGCTGAGAACTTTAGAAACTATTTCTCTAGGTTTTCATTATAAAAGTTCTAGTTTTTATGTGTATTCTGATAGATATGAAACAGTAAGATAGTCTGAAAATCTGAAAGTTAAGGACAGAGTACTTACATCAGTTTGACTATGGTTTGATATTAAATTAGCTGTAAATAGTTTTCAAAACCTCTCTATATGACTATAAGAACTCTGGTCAGTAATCTCCTGCATAGAAGAAGACTATCCATTATGTTTCCTCTTATATCAGTAGGAGTTATGGTGAAAGTAGTTAACACATTTGAAAGAAACTCATAAAGCCTTCCAGGATTATGAAAAAACATGTTACTAGCAAATAGTTGTTTAAATTGTCCTTGCTTTTATTCATGTTCACAACTCCAGCTTCTTTATATTTACATAAATTTAATATTTATATTTACATAAATATAAACCTTTTTATAATTCTGAAAAACTCTGTTCTATCCAGGTATGTACATAAAAACTGAAATGGTTACTTTCTGGCTGCTAATATTTCCTACAAGAATGTAAATAATATAAATGTTGTAATGTCCATGGTTTTTTTAATACTTATTTAAAAATGTCACTTCTTCCGTGTGAATTTTTCTGAGTTTTCAAACCAGATTCTAGAAGCTTGACAATCACTAAATATATTTCCCCTGCTTTGTTCAGCTGCAATGTTGACAAACTCTCAAAAAACTTGCTTTTAAACAAGTATGAAAATTTCTCTCCTTGTTTCCTTTAAGAAATGGGCTAGGCAGGCATCTCAATTCAGAGACTCCTGTGGATGCTGACATTTCCAGTCTTTCAGACTTTCCTCCTGATCTTAGTCACGTACAGGCCCAGGTAACAAGAGTTTTTCCAGCATGCGAATACACTAAGATCTTTATCAGTTACATGTAGTTAAGAGCCACATTGGGCAGTTTGACCCTACAGCACAATGCAGTATTTTGATTGTGTTTTGCTTCCTCAGGTGGGAGGATAATATGTACATATCTGCATACAGCAGCTAAGATGTCACAGGAGATGGAGTGAGAGAATAGTAAAAATAAGTGGTTTAAATGAGCTGTGAATCCAAGTTCAAAGGAGTATTCAATACTAAATATTTTAGAGTTTGTCCAAATATGTTTTAAAATTTCAGCCCAGACAGTTGCTTGAATTTTAAACCTCAGTTTCTCAATTCTGAACCTAGTGTTCGTCTTTTAAGCTTTTTTTTGTATGATCATAAAATTTTCCATTGCTCCTCTTTGGGACAGACACTTGAGAAATATGAAGACAAAACAGATAATATTAAAGTTGTTTTTTTTAAATATGAAACTGTTTAAATGTTCTGAGCTTCATATGTGCTATCACTGCTGAAGTATCTTTTAAAAAAAAATAATTCTAAAATTGTACTTTTAAAAAAAACTTTACATCTTCTTCAGCTTCATTGATGCTGTGAAGTTCAAAAAAGAGCCAGTTTCCATCCCATCTGACATTTTACAAATAACCATGTAGTTTAGACACATTGTCTTAGTGGTTGATGGAATATCGCAGGCTTTTATGGGAATTAGTTCAGGTTTACTTGAGTTCCTAACTTAATTTTATTTTGAGATCTTAAGTCAGCTGAAGTAGATCAGCACCAAAACACCATGTTTGTAACTTGAAGATCTGTGTCAGTTACCTTTGCTTATGTAAACTATTCAAAAAGAGAACTGTGCTGGCATGGTAGCCAGATTGAAAGACTTGTCTTCATAATGCAATTGTGGCTTTCTAACATTTGCTTTCTTCTTCAGGTTTTCGCAGTCATAGAGAAGTCATGATTTAAACCACACACAGCATCTCGCTGACAAGCCCCCACTGGTGTGGGGAAGAGAATTGTAAAAGTGAGAAAACTCACGCATTGAGGTAAAGACAGTTTAAAAGGTAAAGCAAAACCAAAGGAAATCAAATGAATTAATTTACTGCTTCTCATTGGCAGGCAGACACTTAGCCATATCCAGGAGAAAAGGGCTTCCTCACACAAGACGGTGACTTGGGAAAACAAATGCTGTATCTCTAAATGTCCCTCCTTCTTACCTCCTTCCTGTAGCTTTTTATAGTGAGCATGATTACACATAGTATGGAATGTTCCTTTGGTCACTTGGGGCCAGCTGTCCTGTCTGTGTCCCCTCACAGCTTCTTGTTTACCTCCAGCCTTCTTGCTGACGGGATGGTGTGAGAAGGAGAGAAAACCTTAATGTTATTTGAGCACTGCTTGGCAAAAAAATAATACATTGGTCTGTTTTTAACACTGTTTTAATCACAGATACAAAATATAAACCCATACAAATTCCTAAGACAAAATTTTATTCTATCTTACCCAAAACCAACACAAGCAGCTATTGCATTTTTTGTTATGCCTGGCATGGAGTCGTGGTCCTTTCTATCTCAACCAGTTCTTTCTGAGAAAAGAGTAATTCCTCTGGACAAAAGTTACTTATACAAACTCTAGAGATATACAACATATTCTGCTTCAAATGGAGAAAGTGAATCTTAAGAACAGCTCACTTTGTCAGGCAGCTATTTCTTGTCAAAGTGGTTTTTCACATCTAACAGTGACTCATGCTGAGAAAACAGCTTTGTATACAAAAGTATTTGCCTATTGCTATTAAGGTTCATTTAACTAATGGTTTCCAGTGGTACTGGGTTTAGATTAGGCAGAAGGAATACTCTGAGAAATATGGAGAAAATCTATTCAGGCTGATTTTAGGAACTTTTATTCTCATTTTGAGTATGTTGCTTAAGAGAAAAAATTTAACAGTATATTTATATGATTGCTCATAAAAACATAATTGTATTTATTGTCTTCAAGCTCTATGTTTTCCTGTCCTATTAAAGAAAGTCATGGTCATTATGCTTGTCTCTCCCCTTAAACCACTATGTTGCCATAAGCAAAATAAAATAAGTAGGAAATTTATCTGCAAACACATGGTGAAATTTCTGTCTACCAAATGCTTTTCAAATCAGAAATAAAAGCAGCCTTGGGAGATAAATCTAAAGAATTTGAAACAGCCATACAGAAATTGCCAAAATAATCCCCTGCATTGCCCAAAGCAAGATATAAATTAAGAAGCAATACACTATGAGTGTAATGGAGCATTTACCTTTCATGCTTCCATTCATCTCATATAAACAGCTTGTACACTGCACCTCACAGGAATAATTACAAAATCATAGAATATCTGAAATCATATGTATTAAGACAGAAAAGAAACAGACAACAGTTTATTTTTATTTGTCTAATTATTTTAAGATTCTAATTTAAAAAAGTTGCTACCTTCTTTTCTAATTACCAACTTACACAGGTAAAAAGTCAAAAGAATGAAAAAGGCTTTAGGCAAAATCAGCAGGGGAATTATGCATCCCTTCTGCTGAAAACAAATGTGAACTTGCTGGCTGATGTGTTAGCAGTATTCTGCCCTTCCATATAGGACATACATATTTTAAAAGTCCAGTCAAAATTTGGAGTCTTTAAAATCCCAAGGACAGAGTGGATGGATTACAGAGTTACAGCTTGTTTCTTTTGATGGAAGAGAAGATGAATTAAAGATATGCCATATGCAAGATATATTAAATAGGGTATCAAGGAATTTTTCAAATCAAGGAATTTTTCAAATTTCAAATTCAAATTTCTGCTCCAGAAGATCACTTCAACTACTATAGGTCGATCTCCTCAGTAACTGAATGAAACAATAAGCACAAACAAGTGACAAGTACACTGCTTCTGCTTGTACAAATCTGTCCCACTGCACAAACTCATTCTCTACTAAACCATCATTAAATTTTACGTTTTTATTTGTCACCTCCATTTAACAAATAGAATCAGAGAAGAATAAGTGAAAACCAATAACTAAATGACATTACGGACATCAGCTGCAAGCAGATATCTGAATGAAGAGATGAAAAATAATGGTTAACTGAATAACACCTTCTGCCTTTTCAACTTCATCAAATAGCTTAACAGAAGGGATACGGTGTCATACAGATAATTTCCCAGAATAAAATACACAAAGCAGTGCATTCAGGAAGCATTGTGTGTTTTCTTTACAATTCTGTGATATTTACTGAAAGCAAACACCTGCCAAGTGATAAAATGGCCCAACTAAGCAAAGGCATTGATAAATCTGGTCTGATTACATGACTGACTCCATTTTGAGGTCTCTCCCAACCTCAATTATTCTATGACCCTATCCTGTAATTTTAATACAGATAAAATTACCTTTTGGACTTTTATTTGTTTGGCTGTTTGATGAAGTGGCCAATGATTGCATGGTTGGATCCATATAACTAGATGTAAGTAAAAACCAATTTTTCTAGCAGCAGAACAGGTTTCCCAGAGAGGTTATGTCACTTTTGTCCATGAGGATTTTCAAAATGCACCTGGACAAAACTCTAAATGACCTGATCTGAACATGTAGTGGACACTGTTTTGAGCAGGAGATTCGTGTACACCTTGAGGTCCCTTCCAACCTGGATTATTCTATGATTTGTAGTGTAAAACAGGCCCACTGGTCAAATTTTGAGTTTCAGACTCACCTGAAAAAGTGCCCTTATTTTTTCAGCATCAATTTTTGCAACAGACTGGTATAATGTAAAAGATGTTTAATTACCCAACATTCCATTGGGCCCACTCCACTGCTGTTATCAGTAAAGCAGGACTGAGAGCCTTCACTCTAAGAAATCAAATTATCTCTGCTCCTTGACCTAATGAATGATAACAAGAAGTGGTTTCATGCAAGCTTGGCAGTAAGTAGTCAAGGAGCCCTAAAGCAGGCACACTTATCCTCTTTCTCTTCAGTGGATTCTAATTTTATATTCGTCTTTGCCCATGCCATTAAACAACTGCCCTGGTAAGAAGACAAATTAAAAATACATAGTCATAAGACAAGCATAAGGATAATACATGAGGCAAGAAAATTACTAAATGGAGTTTTACCTTCATTAGACTTTAGAATATGGAAATTACAATTGTAGTTATAAAGTTAGAAGATTTCTGTGCCTAGGTAATTCTATGGAACTTCATGACTTTAAAATCTGTAATAGATTGGCATTTAAGAAAACAAAGAGAAACACCTAAAGAAGTTAAAACTGCTGGAGGCTGGTGGGAGTTTTTCTCTTGGCCGACAACTGGCCATTTCTAAGAACTGTCAGCAGTTTTGACCATTGAAAAGTGAGATCAACCTGTGATCACCACCTTAAGACGTAAGCCTGGGAATTTCTTTGTCTCTTTGTTTCCTGTTTGTGAAAGGTAACTGAGCTTTAGCTGGGTTCCCGTTCCCTGCCCAGGCCATGCGGCCCCGTGGGGCAGGGGCTGGGCTGGGCCCAGCGGCTCCCAGCCAGGAGATGGGGCCTGTGGGGCTTGCCCCGGGCTCTGGCCGGGCCAGGCCGGTCCCTGGCTCAGCTGCAGTTTTTGCTGTGACTGAATTCACCAGAGACTGCCAAGTAAAGAAAGGGAAAAAAAGCTCTTGACCTGCTGCGTGCTGAGACAGTGACCACACTCTCCAGAGCAGCCATGAAGAATCTTCCATCGCAGACAGATCCAGCTCCTGCTCCGGCAGAGATCACAGAACCAGCTACAAAAGCCTGGGCAAGATTTTAACCTTTTCATTACCTATATGAGACTTGCAGATTTTAACCTTTTATCCAGAGAGAGAAAAAGAGAGTAATCAACATGTAAAGAGACTTTATAAACTATCAGAAAAATATTCTTCTGTTAAAGCTATGGCGATGGACAACAGGGTTTTGAAAAAAACTCCTTTAATTCATGACAGAGTATATTGGGAGGAATGAAGTGTTTCAAAGTGTGGATTTTGAGCAAAACAGTGAAGTAGTTGTGATATAGTGAAGTGCTGGAACAGAGGGGAGAAGTAATAGTTGAAGATTTGTAGCTTTGTAGAGGCAAAGAGAAAACTTCTGTTTCCAGAGAGGCGAACTTTTGCCTTTGAATAACTCATCCTTAAAAATGACATCCCTAGACTCATTTGACCCATACACACCTCAGAGTGATGTGAAATGGGAGGAGACAACTGATGACAGATTTTCAGGCAGCTGGCATCAGAGAAATAAGAAGCTATGAAGAAAATTAGTTTTCTTGTGAGAAACTCCATAGATTAGCAGAAGAAGACTTCTGTTTCTCTACAAAGACTGATGAAAAGACACTAGCAAGAACTGGGAGTGTTTTAAACACCAAAGATTTTTTGTCTCTATGTTGTCATGTGAACAAGGGAATGGTTAAATAGTGGGGGAGAAAAAGGTTTTCTGTAAGTTTTATTCTGGTTTTCTTATTCTTATAGTTTTTGCTAATAAACTTTCTTTATTCCTTTTAAGTTTTAAGCCTGTTTTGCTCTCATTCTAATCCATATCTCACAGCAAGAAATAAGTAAATTTTCTAGTGATTTTTTTTAGTTGCTGCTTTAAAACCACAACATTTATTTAGTGTGTTGGCCGGGAAATCGAAATTGGCAAATCTAAACCACTACAAATTCTGAGTATTTTTTCTCAACAATTCAACTAATAATTCCAGTAATTTTGCATTTGTAAAATTCCCTGATTATTTTAAAGGGTGTTTTTTATATTTTTAATTGTATATTTATGACAGTGGATATAATCATAAAATGTCTAGTTCATAAGGACAGATACACATGTGCCCATGTAAATTAGAAGAAATTTGGTAAAATAGCATGAATAAAATTTTATGCATTTGACTCACTCTCTCTATATCTGAAAGGATTATCATGAAAAATTTTAGGTGCTTAGGTTAGTATTCATCTCCAATGGGTTAGCACTAGATCTATTAAAAAATCAAATATCTATTGGTTGAAAAGAAACTAAGACAATTTTTCCCTTAAAAAATGAAAAAGCAAAGAAAGTTCAATTCTAAGCTAATCACTCAGAAAGTTAAGGTTTTCACCCGAAATGTAGAAGGGATTCATGTAAACTGTAGATATAATTCAGCCTGTTAGTTATAATGTAAAACTCAATATATGCTTCAAGTTTTGACAATTATTTTCCCATGTATTTTCACATTCTGTTTTTTGTGTATACATACATATCGTGATCTTTAGAAAGTTTCAGAACTCATGAAATACATAAGTACAATGTGAATGAAAGAACTGGTAATTTCTCCAAGTATTTTCCATAATTCTTTGATATACTGTGATGCATGTACACCTCAAAAAATCATCATCTCTTTCTGGAGCACAACTGAGAGAAAAAGTCATGTATGCTTACCCAAATATGGGGTTATATTGTAACCTAGTTGTTATATCCCATTTACAGATACTGTCAGAGATATAATAATCAGTAAGGAGAAGGTTCAACATCACATCCAAGCCTCTCAACTTGATATCTGGACTGTAGGTTATACTGGGGTTAAGAATATTTTTTCCTCTTCTTTTCGAAGCTGTGTCACAGTGCAGAAAATAATTAAAATTTATGGGATCAGAAAGAGAGCAAGCATAACGACAACTCAGTAGCCTACTGTCTCAAAATCTCACAGGAGAAAAGAGACCTGGCTTCTGTTCTGTATTCCAAAGACTATACATTTTACATGAGACAGACACTGGATAACACATATAAGTATATATTGAAGCAACCTAGACCTTTCTCATACCGAGTGAATATCTTAACCAGCTGACATGAGACCCTTACTAACTGTTGGACTTTCCACTGCCTTCTATGAATATTACATTGCAAACATCTCACAAACACTTTGTCTGAACATGCAATCTCATGTTTAAAAGGAACTCCTAGAATTTTTGTTTGATATCATGCAGTAAAAAGACCAAAAAAGAAATCTGTTGCACTCTGTTGTTAATTTTGCTCCCCATAGTGTTATGTTAATGGTTTGTTCCCCTCTCCCCTCTGTTTTTATTATTAGTTTAGCCTAAGTTGTACCCTCCTACCCCAGTTGTCAATCCAACCTGGTACCTGCCCCTTGTTCTTGAATGTTCCCTGTTCCTCCCCTCTGCCCTCTGTCTGTCACCTGACTACTCCTCCCAGCTTCTAGAAAGCTCGGGGAAGATCATTGAGTGATAGGGCAGAGACAGAGGAAGTCCCACCCTGAACCTTCCTCATTAATTCTCCCCCATGTCCTTTTGAGCCTTTCACGCTCCCCTCTTGTTTCTCATTGGTTTGTTATCTGTCTCCGCCCCTTGTTCCTCCCCCAAATTTAAGATGCTGTCATCCCTGTTTTGGGAGCTCTCCTGGAGCAGCGCCCATGGAGTTTACTCTGAGGATTCAATAAACCTTGGACTTTGCCCTTCATGAGGGCCTGACTCCTGTTTCCTCCATTGTTGCTTCAGTCTCTTCCAGTAAGCCACTCCTCTGATTGAGAGGGGTGTCCCCCGCAAGGTCAGCAGTGTCGAGCTAGCCCAGGTGGGTGGAGTGCTAATTCCAAAAGGATCACCATGACAAATGGCTATGGTAACTGTAGCTGTGAGAAGTGCTGTATGGCCATCAACTACCTATAATGCAGAGTGTTCCCTTTAAAGATGTTTCTACTCTGCTCAGTTGAAGGAAGGTCGGTCACTTCCAGCTGAAAGTTCTAATATCATTAATTTTCTAAAAAGATGTTAAGGATTAATAAGATTTCCAATTTAGGTTAAAAAATCTGAAAGAAATATTTTGCAGTTTATTCTTAATTATTTTCACAATAACTATTATGTTGGATCTTAACTATTTATAGGTTTCTAGATGTTGTTGACATAGCATATTCATTTTCTATTAGAGGTCTGTGGCATTCTATTTCTGTGACTGAGAAACAAACCCTTAAAAATGGAAAAAGGTCAGAAGAGATAAGCGAGGGTGATGTGTCCATAAAGACCGGAAAGTTTTGTGGGGTGGGAGTGACCACAGATGTTGGAAAGAAGCTGGCTTTATTTCATCACAAAGGGGATCGAAGGGTGGCCTTCATTTCACATGAGCACCTACCAAAAGTTAAATGGATCTGCTGGTTCTATAAATGTTTCTCCCAAGTTCACTAAAAGTTTGACTGTTTCCTTGAGCTAGCCAGATCAACATGGGGGTAGTGGCTCAGCTAAACATAGAGTATAAAACAAGACAAGTGTCAAAAGAATTTAAAAGACAGCAGTAAGTTTGAGATGGCTGCTACCCACATATTCCTTTCCAGCAACTGGGGACTCCCTGCATCCTGACAGTGAGAGTATTATAGATACTGATAAAAGGGAACATATTGGTGCTGTGATCCAGCTGTCTGTTTATATTGCTTTATTTTGTTAAGTTTAACTTACGTTTGTATTAGTTTATGCAGCAGTATTTAAATCACTCTGATAAATCAGAAATCCAATGCAGTATCAACTATCTTCATATAAGCAAATTTGATAATAAATATTAAATCTTTCACATGTAGAATATATAAAATAACCTAGTTAGAGAACGTCAGACTAAAAAATTCCTTGTTCCATAACATATTCCATTCAATAAATGCAATTTTTAACAAATTCACCGCTATGTAAAGGTATTTGCCAGTCATAAATTTATTCCTTTTTCTGGATATCCTGAAAGTTTATTTAAAACTTCTACATGTATCACAAGGTTATTTTTCACAGATTCTATAATTATTTCTGTGTATTTTTTTATCTCTCTGGTTTCTTGATGGAATATATACATCACATTTTCTCAGATGTCTACAAACATAGCTGGGTCAGAAGTTGTTCAAGCAGGACTTTTATATTATTACTATAATTTTTAATTCCAGTTTCTTATTCTGCAGTCTAGGTCCATGGAATAGGAAAGAAACTACTTCTACTTAGCTTCAGGTAGAGCAAATCTCTGCTGCTTTCCAGATGAGTGGCTTGATTTCCTTACTGTATTTTTTTTTTTTTTTTTCCTTTGGTTAAAAGTAGAAAACAAGAAGTTGCAAGATTGAATTCCGGTGTCAGATTTCCTCCTTTGCCTTCTACATTCTGGAACATATTTTAGCTAATGAAAATGGACATCCTCATGACAGCAAAAGCTGATAGGTATGAAAAGACTATATCTGTAGTTCAGCCTTTGAGAGGGGGTTTGGGTTGCAGTGCACACACCACCTTTTCTGTTGTTACAGAATTTTCTCATTCTTCTGATTCAAAAGCATATTTCCCATTCCTCCTAATTTTTAATAGTTTCTTGATTTTTTTTCCCATTTTCATTTTATAAGACCTCCAAATTGATAAAATTTGGAGGTTATGCTTTGTGAAATTTATTTCATTGTGGATGTGAAAGCAAACACAAAATGGTGTGAGAAAAATTACCATTTTATTGGAGCAGTCACTAAAAGTCTACTAAATATCTTTTCAGGGTAAGGGGTTACTTTCTTACCCTTGCTCACAGTGACGTGTATGCATGAAGGCTTTTTCAACCAGAGCCAACTATTCAGTGTGAAGAAAGTAGAATAAATCAGGAAAGCATATCACTTTCAGCATCACAGCTGTTGTCACTTCGTGTCCTACTTGGTAGCTGGGCTACTGAGAAAAGCAAATACTTCTTTGTCTTATTTCTGCACTAAGTAAATGTCATAGCAACCCATTAGCATTGACAAGGTCCTTGTTCCTGAATACCAAGTACATTAACCCTTTCTTTTGCACCAACTGTTTCTCTATTATATAAGCCATAGCAATCAATGTCTTTTGTTTAAGTTTACATGCAGTCACAATATTTGATGTTTCAAAAATAATAAAAAGATAGTTTTATTCTGATTAAGCATTTCTGCTGGGTTTTGAAGAAGTTACGCATTCTTTAAAACATGACACTTTTACTCTCAATAGTTAGTCTTCTTAATATAAAATTGCTACTTCTACATAAGTCTGGCCAAATGAAATTTGGTTTAATGACAACAGTGTAACTATTCTGTGGACTGATGGTGCCGCTTCTTAAATAACATCATAATTTGAAATACGATGAAATTTGAGATTTGAACAAATGGTGTCTTTGAAATAGACACCAAATGTGTTCCAAAACATATTGAAATTTGTGGTAAAAGCTTTAGTTCTGTTAACTTTGTTGACTTGGATCAGATTAATGGAGTAAAAATTTTTAAGGTTTTTTTGCTTTGCTATCCATATATGAAATGGGTATGTTGCAATGAAAAACTGATAGAATCTTTATTTACCTAACTCTGAAAGGTATCTGAAAGGTCCTTGGTGCTTTTTTAGGATGCCAAATATTTCTGTATGTTCACATTAAACTTACTGGAAGTGTCCTTTTGTCATCTTCTTTTCCTATATTAATTTGAAGTTTCAAAAAAATTAAACTTGTTAGTCTATAAATAAATCATCAAGTCCAAGGTAGCAGGCAGTAATTGTCAAACTTGTCATGGCTGATATTCTTCCAGAAATCCTGACACTCTCTTACTTCAGAGGCTAGTAAAGTCTTTCTTGGTTGCTGTAGAATAGCTGCACAGACTATGAAGATTTTCCCTTATTTTACTCATCACTTTTCTAAAAAATTGATTTTAAAATGAGGGAAGCAGAGTTAAATTACCATCTGCTTTTGGTTGCAGGAAACCTCAGTACATTTATTTTCATCTACTTGTTTTTCCAACTAATTAATAAATTATTACAGAGAAAGATGACAAGTTAACTTACTAGTCACACAGGACACAGATATATGCTGTTCTGCAGTTTCTGACAGATTGAATTATTGGATACAGTTAAGTTGATGGAAAAAAGCAAAGGGATGGGTTAGAAGTTCAGGATTCTTGCTGACTGCACTACCTTCTTATAGCATCATGCTAAAGGTTGACTTCAGGAACATACATTAAATCCCTTTTCTTCCAATCAAGCGAAACATAGCTAATAAATCATATGTAGTAAGAGGTAGTACAAAATATCTTGGCTTTAGTTTCAGGAGAGCTGTGATGAAGTAAGCTGCACGCAGTACTGTACCCTGCTGGTATACAAAACACTTCCAAATTACTTCCACCAATGTGTGTGTTTACCTTATCTAAGCTTATGATACATATTGTGTGGACAGTTTATTTTACTTTAACCTAACACAATTTAGAAGTGTTAATACTGATCCTTGAAGACAGCTGGGTCTTTATTCTTATCATGTAAACATAATTGCATGCTCTTAACAGTTTTACAATTGTTTCATAAATGTCTACGTACGCTTAAGTATGTGAGTTAGAAAATACACTCTTTAAGAGTATCCTTCAAGGTCAAATGGCTTTAATCTTTATTTTTCTAATTCACTTTCGTTGCTTTTATGACTCATTTCTGTCACTGATACCTGCATTAAAGAAATAGGTACTATGAATGTGCAGAGACAACTTACTAAAATGGGGCTCACATCCTTGTCTTGATGCAAAATAACCAAGATTAATATATACTTTCTCTGATCAGTGGTTAATAATGTACTACTTCACTAGATGACAAAGAAGTTGTTTTCAGAACTACTCAGGATTTGTTTCAGGTAAGACTTCATTTCGAAAGAAATCGGTTTCACTTCCTCAGACATACATTTTAGATGGAAAGGCTGTGAAATTTAGTATTCAGGCAGTTTTGCTTCATTTAATTTTTAGTATAAAAAAAAGTGTAGAATTTTGATTTTTATGACTACTATTACACTAAATGTACTGTCTTAGCCACTAATACAATAATGACCTGTATGTCAAATGATAAAAATGTACAGTAATCTGTTAACGCCCAAAACTTATTATGGACAAAAAGGGCAAAAACACAAATGCTGGTCTGTAAAATTCTTGTTTGTGTAGAGTTTTAACAAGCTAGCCTAACTTGTCAGGATAATACATGAAAACCTTAACATTAATGTGCTCAAAATTGACCAGAGGAACAGAGGACCAGAGGGTCATCTCTGCTTTAGATAAAGGGTTGAATGAGTTTACTGGGATAAGGTGGCTATGTTCATGGCCTTCCCTGGCTTAATCAGTGTAAAAGTTTCCTGAGTGAACCAGACTGGCATGGGGGAACTGGCTCAGTCCAACATAGAGTATAAAACTGAACAACCAGCAGAATCAATTTTGAGGAGGACAGTGGGTTTGGGCTGGTTTCAGACCATGTATTCTTTCCCAGTGACTGGAAACACGACATAAAGTGACAGAATCATGACCACAAACACCTAGAGACCAATAAGGAGAATCAAGTTTGTGATCCAACCATGTATCTCAATGACTGTGTTTGTTTTTGTTTTTTTTTAATTTCAGTGAACTGTTGTATTGTTAAAAAATAATCCCAGTAAATATATTCAACTTTAAAACAAAACCCCTCCTTCTGTAGAATATCTTTGCACAGTGGGAAATGTGAGTACAAAGTTAATCTGGCTTCTTCAGGCTCTATGACAAATATTTACCTTTTCTTTAGTATCCTCAGTATTATGTGGAAGGTGGCAAGGACTTTCTGTAGAAAATTCTCTTATAGCAGAAATAGACATTATAGGACATACATATTTTAAAAAAAATCGGTATTATCTTCTAAGGTTTTGAACACCAAAAGTGAAATCGAGAGCTAGGATTTGGTTCTGACTGTTAAACTAATTCTAATAAAGAGATAATATTATGATGACCATTGCAATAGCTCAGGGTGTATTATCTGCTTTAAATGACATTGATAGTAAACCACAGCATAACAAGTTTGCAATGACATGGATCTGGCTATACTTGGGTTGTGAAACAAGAACCCTGAACCTTTGCTGCAGAGATCATGCTCTAGTAAATATCCTAAAGCACTTTAGGATAGGATAGGATATTTGGGAACATTGAAGATTAAAGAACAGTTCTTGAAGAGTCACAGGTAGTGTCACTGGAAGTGTCACTGAAATTATAATTGACAAAACATGAATATATTCTTAATGTTTTTAATAAAAATTTTGCCCAAACTCTACAGTGGGGAAGTTCATAAACTGTAAAAATACAAAAATTGGAAGGGCCATTTGCACAAAAATCCCAGGCAACAGTGTATGGAATTACCAATTAAGATGGGAAACCACATTATCTACAGCATGTTATGGTATGTACCCATACTCACCACATATTTTAATCCAGTTTTTATTTGCCTTCCCCCAATTTTGCTGCAACAGTACTGTTCATCAGTTCTAAACACACTCACAGTTTTATCCCATGGCAGTATTTCTTGTATCCTCACAGCACTCCATGGAAGACATACCTGAATTTGCCTTGATGTGCCACAGAGACCATCTTGTCTTGGTGTCCAGTGTTCTCTCCTCCCTTGACACCTGTTTGCTGTGACTGACAGTTTCCCCCTGTAAGCACTGATAAATTTCAGTTCGACCATACTGTGGCTGTCAAACAGACTGGCATAATACACAGTCATTGTCAATATCTATATAACAACATCACACCATTTATTACATCCTGTCACATAAGCATGCAGCTAATGTGTGTACCTATCTTATACTCAGTGCTTCTTCAGTTTATTTTTGCACTTTTTTAGTCACTACGAAGTATCCTCATTGTTATAAAAATGTTAAAAATCTCAAGATTTAAAAACACTTGTGCAAGGAGAAGAGAAAATAAAGAAAATGTTTGCTGAAGAAAATACCTAAAAATAGTGTAAAAAACCTAAAATAGCATATTGTGCAAAACAGTAAGAAAAGGAAGAACGCATGCAATGAATTCCAATATGCACACTCAAAACATATAGCTAGAATCCAGCTTTCGTTAATCATAGACACAGATATGTATTAAAAAAAAATATTTTTTCTGAAGAATTTTCTTTAAATACTAAATGAACTATTTTAGGAGAAAAAGGCCTAGTTTCTCAGTAAAACAATGTCAAAGGAAAAATAACTAATAAAAATGTGTTTGCATACTATTCTAACATGTATTTTTTCATTAAAATCAACCTAACTGGGACTGCACTAGTATGTGCTTCCAGTGCTAGAGATTGGCACTGAACTGCAGACACAATGGGGTTTTCCAAAGAACATTCTCTAATGAGCGAAAGACCTCAGGAAATTTATAAGCACATAAGAACTTTGGCTTCTCAGACTTTCTCTTTCCCCC